GACCCTTTCAACCACGCTCCATACATAGAAGTCCAAAGGATTTAAATCTGGGCTGTTGGGAGGCCAGAATTCTTTGGACCAAAACATGTCGACGTTGTCGGACAACCAATTTTGAACCAAATGACTTGTGTGGGCGGGCGCACCGTCCTGCTGGAAAACATACGGCTTTCCAGACGACACAGTTTCCATCCACGGCTTCACTACATTTGTCAGAACACGCAAATAAACATCTTTTGTGAGCGCCCAGCGCGAACACTTTCGATAATCGCGGCTCTTCGTTATACTCCGCACTTGGTTTCAACGTTGCGACTGTTTCAAGGTTATGACTGTTTAGTACATGCGTCAAGCTATTTGGACGCCAATCGCGATCTCTACAAGTGGTACAGAACGGCGGGAAATTCAAATTGAATTTTGTCCGGATTTTGGCGCCGCACCATGTATAAGTGGAAAATTATTGTATTTTAATCTTGAACCAAAAAATGGAACAAATACATAAGTTATTCACTCTTTTTACGCACTCTTTTTTAAATGCTTAAAAATTATTAATAATAATTAACTAATATTATCAATAATAATAAAATAATAATAATTAAGGGATTATGCTTAGTCAGAAGGTCAAAAAAGATGAACTTTTAGGAATTTTTTTTGAAAAAGCGTATGCATGTTTTTTTACAAAAGAGTCTATATTCAAAAAGGTTACGTTTGACAAGTTACAGTAAAATTTTGATGCAAAAGTATTAATTTATAACAAAGTTATAGCCGATGTCCGAGAAGCCTTTATTCCAAAAGCGTTTTGCGGTGACCATTGCTGTTTGGAATTGGGTTATTTGCAATCAAAAATTCGAAAAAATTTAGTTAATATATTAGTTTATTTAGTCTTTAACCGTTCCCTGTTACAAAAAATTAATCTGCGACAAAATGGCGGCCGCTTAAAGTGAAATTATTAATTTTTGTAAAAAAGAACGCTCATTTTTCGTAAAATAAAACTACGCATTAGAAAAAAATCCTTCGTTCAAAGAATAGATTTTTATGTTTAAAAAAAGCTTGCAAAAGTTGAAATAGATTGATGCAACGGTTTTCGAGATATTTTGGTCACCGACTTTGAAAATGTTATCTTGAAAAAAACGCGTTTAAAGTTTCAAGTTCAGTTCACAAATAAAAAATTTATTTTTTAGCTTACACAGAATCATCTATTCCAGGCGCATACAGTAGGCCTTCTGCTGCAGCAGTTGCTGCGTTCAAAACATTAATTTGCTTTTGCTGACGACGCATTCTTCCCTCCCGAGTACTCTTTTGTGCGCGACGGTCAGCAATATTTATGCGGGCAGCGTCTTCGTTCTCCGCATATTTATGGAAGTTTGGACTGCAGCTTACTCCGATACATTATAGCATTTTCAGTAATGCTCCTAAGCCTTCATTAAAAACGCAGGCAACGATGTATGCGGCTAATTCGACAGTAATTGAGTCACTTGGGATTATTTTCGGGCTGGTTTTCCAAATAAGTTGGTTGTAACTTTCATTGTTATTTTGAGTGAAACCGCCAACACATCTTTCTAGTAAATTATCTTTACTGAGATCTTTATAAATCGGCTTTATTGCAGTCAAAACATTTGTAGGTAAAGGCTTATAATCGTGTTTAAATGAGACGAGCTCTACATTCGCCGAAGCGCGTTGCCAAGCACACCATGACTCTTTGCCAGTCGGGCATTTGTTATGACGCGGACGCTTATCTGTGGAGCTGTAATGATCATATGTAGTCCATATCGCGTTTTTCATGTTTTCCACTGAGTCACAATGTCGTCGTATCGCTAGGCCATAATACACGGTTAATTTATCGATCATTTTTCCTGTTAGCTTGCCTTTGCCACCGAGCCCTTTTTTTTGCACTCGCGCAGTCGATTCCCTATGCTTTTTTGAACGTGTTCAATACATTCTTTTTTAGTAATGCGAGTATCACCATAAGGAGCAGCATTTATAATACCCGTGTATGTTTTAATCTATAATTAATGTAATTTTTCTCTGAACGTTGAAATATTTCTATGATTGCGTCCATCTCCATTTTACCCGATGACCCTTTGTAATTTGCAGAATATTCTTTTTGATGTGTCTCTAGCCATTCTTTGTATTCTATAGTACCTTCTTTTTTGCTCCAAAATCCACACATTTTACAATGTGAACTTTTTACAAAAATGTTAATCACTTTGCAAATGTAATATCCGATAATAGAAGACGCGCCGAATAAAGAAGTAAATCCGCGCTTTTTCCACTTCCCGTCTCCAAACACAGTTAAATCAGTTGTTTTATCCACGTTTCGTGCTTTACAAGTCTGTGCTATTTCTTCTTTCATGGCATTTTTGAAAAAAATTTTAACAAAGATTTTAATACAATTGTATATTTGTTGTAAAATCATATTGTACGTGCTGTGATAAAAAAACTGCGGCATGTCCATTAAGCCGCAAAATTTTTCAGCACCTTTCAATCCTAAGTCTAGTACCCTTATTGCAAATATAAAACTATTTATTTTATATGAATGTCCAATGAAAGAGCACAAAGGAATATATTGAAGCATGCATTAATCACATAATAATGCGATTTTAAACCCGAGGCCGCACGCGCTTGTGGTTCGAAATTTAATATTTCCATCGCACCGTTTGCATTTAACAAAATTCGAAATTGCAGCAAATACGGTGATGAAATTCAAAATTCTATATTCTATATTATTGTCTTGCCGCACAATAATCTCTGTTTGCATCTTCAATTTTTTCGCAGATGCACTAAAAGTATTTTCGTTATGGTCTGTTTTTGTTTAACTTTCGGTGAACAACAAAGATGAAATGATACCGTGAGCGTTGCGGTCATTAAGTGGAACGGGCCCATGGCGGTTAGCCAATCAGCAAGCGGAACGCCATTGTCGCTTCTCTGATTATATGGGACTCTACCCTAATGCAGTTGCTGCTACGTTCATTAAAGCGCTTCGCGCTATACCTGTAGTGGGATTCAGTAACTTGCTATCGATAGTTTTCGATATCGTTAACTAGCGACAGCCAATGGCAAGGACAATCCTGATAAAAAGCGCAACTATCATAGGCTATCGCTCGCTAACAATACGCTCGACAACGATAATCGTCGCTAAGACGTTAGAGAATCCCGCTACTGCGCGGAGCACTTCAATGAACGTGTACTTCAAGTTGTATATCTCCAACAAATTTCAGCGGATTAACTTGAAACTATCAGGGAATATTTTTAACATAATGTATTTCAAGAAAATGTGAAAGCTCAAAAATCGAAAATTTGAAAATTTCTGACTAGGCATAACCCCTTAATAATAATTATTATTAATAATAATTTATTATTATTAATGGTAAATGTGCATATTAGGTTACATCTTACCGATGACTTTGACCTTGACATATGTTGTCAAGGACATGACCCTGAGAAATATCTCAAAAACTATAAGAGACTGCCAGTTAAGTTATAAGGAAAAGTTACTCAGGGTTATGTCCTTGACAACATATGTCAAGGTCAAAGTCATCGGTGAGGTGTAACCTAATATTTACCTTAATATTAATTATTAATTAATATTCCATAATGATAAACGAATCACATGCAACTTGTCAAGACACTAAAGATCTTTGCTCTATTGAGAGTTTGAATAATAATGATATAAGAACAAAACGAAATCTCGCAGAGAGAAATATCATTAACAAAAATGATTATTTTTGAGTCTTTTATTTCCCTTCAAAGTTTGTCGATCTAATTTTTTTATACCCTATATATAATGTTATATTATGATTATATATGATAAAAAATGCGCTCCTATAATTCTATTAAAAAAACTTTTTTTGAAACTTTAAATAAATATACAAGAAAATTAAATGTCGAATCTTTGGGAGCGTGTGAGAAATCGATAAACCAACAAAAAAAATCCTTTAAAGATTTGCTCATTTTTATTTTGTTTTGAAGAAAATCACAATAAAAAAAAACAAAAAAATTTTTATTAAAAAAATTAAAACAACATTAAAATTATTAAGTTTATCGAAAAGTACCATGAGATAATAGTTGTAGAGCATGGAATTAAGAAAAGAGAATGAATTAAAATCTTCCTAAAGTAAAATTAGAGGATTGTAAATAAATACACGACAACGCAAGATTATTGTATCCTGTTTACTTTAGTTTATGTACATTCCTGTTATCATTAAGGAAGTAACAATATGAATAAATAAGTAAACTGAAACGAAAAAATGAGAACGTTTTAATTTCACTTTACTTATTTATTTACACTTATTTATTCATGTTGTCACTTCCTTAATAGAATGTAAATATAAACTAAAGTAAACAGGATACAATGATTTCGCATTGTCGCGTATTTATTTACAGTCCTCGAATTTTACTTTAGGAGAATTTTAATTCATTTTCTTTATTTAATTCTTTATTTAATAAAGTATGCACTCCGAAACCAGCGCTGGCTCTAAATTGCCATTTGTACATTAATTAATCTTTATTTAATGCTTTTAACAACTTTTATTTCATGGTACTTTTCGATAAACCTAATAATTTTAACCTAATAGTTTTATTTTATTTAAACCAAATAGTTTTATTTTTTTATTGAATATTTTTTTGTTTCCTTGTTTTGTGATTTTAACAACCAAAACAAAGCAAAAACGAGCAAATTTCTAAAAGACTTTTTTTCTTAAATTATCGATTCCCCACACGCACCCAAAGTTTTGACATTTAAATTCGGGACACTCTGTATATCTCATGCTTTTATTTTTACAAAACATTTATAAATCTTAAAAGATAACATCAATTGTGAAGATGTAATTGGAAAAATTTTGCACATCTTTTGCGCATATACTTGTACTCTATGTATATTGCAAGAAATATTTTGTCGCACAAGCTATTGTTTTAGCTATTGATTTAGCTATTGATAACAAGCGAAAAAGCAGTTGCAAAAAACTAAATTTGAATCTATTCTCATCTAGTGCGATATAAAATTTCAGAGCTCGCTGGCGAGAAAATCGCACCATCTTTAATACACCTAACGCACGATTGATGAACGTTTCGCTATTGAGAGAGAATAAACTTTTACACGCTCAGGAGAGACGTGGTTCAAGGGCGAGCGTACGGATCCCATCAAGGCAACCCTCGATGGCTTCCTTAAGAGCCAACTCGCCAAATGCTTCACAAGGTGCGAAATACTTTCACTACTCACAGCACAGAGTAAGCCGTACAGATTTTTATTCACTTACTAAGGCCCATTCTACAATAAGTCATATGTCGTTAGTCGTAAGCAAATTGATCAATCACAGTCGAATATTCTCGGAATAATCGACTGTCGTTAGTCAATTTGCTTACGACTAACCACATACAATTTATTGTAGAACGGGCCTAAGCAAGCAACTTACTACACAAAGTCCCGTTCAATAGAGCAAGTAACTTTTTTGTTTGTTTCGAAACATTTCCAGTGAGACATGCTTTTACATGCTTGATAGGAAATAATAGCATACCTCGTATTCTTTTGTTTTGCTTTGATTTCTCAAAGATCGCTTCTTACCAAGCATCTGATTTTACTGTCATAGTAGCAAAATATTACAACTTCTGTGATTATGTAAGTATTGAGAATAGGATCTACGTTCATATGACATTTTTTACTTAGAATGCTTTCATTCTACAATAAGTAAAAAATGCCATATGATATATATATAAGAATTATTTACTTTATCTACCTATATATCTACTTTTATAAAGAAGAACTTTTTTTATGCTTCTTAATGCGGAATCTTTCCAAACTTTACGCATGTATAGTCGCCTCAAGAGCATAGAATGGCGTAGATAAATTGTTAAACAAATCGAGGCTTTATCTCTTTGCCTGCAGTAGGATGCATTGCTAAAATCGTTTCCACGAGTAATTTTTATAATCTTATTATTTTAACCAAAACTCAAAAATATATACTGTTTAAACATTATTATTTTTTATTATTAGTTTTATATCAAAATTAGTGATACATCCTACAAATTGATATACTTTTATATCGATTGATTATTGAATTATCAATCTTTTCTCCTTATTGTTCAATTATTATTCTTTTCTCCTTATTGTTCAAATATTATTGCACATATTATGTATAACCAATAAATATTGGGGGTGATTACGATAATTACGGCCCCCTATTTGAAAGCTCGTTTCTGAAGACATTTTTGACGAGGAACACGGCAAAAACAGTAAAAAAAATTTCCGACCAATAGTTTTCGAGATATATCACTTTAAAGTATTGGACATGATAATAAAACTTTAGGTAAATATGCATATTAGGTTACACCTCACCGATGACTTTAACCTTGACATATGTTGTCAAGGACATGACCCTGAGTAACTTTTCCTTATAACTTAACCGGCGGTCTCTTATAGTTTCTGAGATATTTAAAGTTAACATTTGGGTAATAATATAGAATTGTAAAGTCCTAAAAAACAAGAAACTTTTAGACCCAGATAACCCTGAAGATGCACAATTAATTGCTGAATTATTAGAGAAATCCGATAGCGAAGAAGAAGAAGAAAACGATGAATTCCATTTATATCTTTCAGACATCGAAGAAAACGGAGAATTAATACCAGAAAGCGATTCATTAAATAACAATAACAATACTCTTCCATTTACATCTACATAATTAAACAAACCAGATTATTTATCGATTACCGAGAAAGCTTTAATACATGATCCTTTTACAAGGGGAAGGCACGGGTTGGGAAATTCAGTTTGGGATCAGCCTTCTTGTGATGGTAGTGTACCCTTAGGGTGTAAATATATTACAGTCATAGGGCGCACTATCCAGCCAATTCCGAGAAAAAGCGTCTTAAAGTTTTCCAAGTAGCTTATATATAAGAAAGTTTTCTCACCTGTCAAGCGGCCGTCTGGCTAAGGCGGTAGCGTGTCCGACTCGCATGCCCGTAGTCGCAGGTTCGATCCTTATAACTTGATTTTTTTTTCTTTTTTTTTCGTCCGAATAATCATCCAATAAATATTTTTTTACTTCTAAATAAAAATTTATTCATTTACAAGTTATTTTATTGAAAAAATAGAAATTTTTAACATTTGTCTTTAAACACTCTTTTTAACTTTCTTTTTATTCATCCACAAAATTTTTACAAATTTTTACATTACTTTTCTGACATATTTTTATTTGTAAATATTTATACGATTTTTCAATATAAAGGATATACCTAATACAAAAGATATACACAGTGAACAGGGTGTGTGTGTACAAGAAAGTGTAGGTAAGAGATATTCGTTTCGAGGTAACGGTTTTTACCTGGCCATGTGCAGCTGGTCCCGTAGACAAAAGATATATATCCCAGCCAAGGGGTCGAAACAGGTCGAAACAAGTCGGGAGCGTCTTCGGCAGTTCATTTTTGAACATTGCTGTGATCGGACGTATTCCGTAGTGTCGTGATATAAAGGAAAAAAACGTATTTCGGTGAAAAATGTTGACTAGTGAAGAAATTCCTGGCCCTTCGAAGGTTGAAGAGAAAATTCCTGAAGATTCAATGCACAGCGAAATGTCGAAATTGCGATTGAAGGATGCAGTGGTATATTACGAAGGATTGCTTGCAGAAAATAATTTAATTGCATCGGAATCTTCAGCAACAATTTCTCACGAAGCTATGCTGATAGGAAAAGAACTTTATGAAAATACACTAGAAATGTTGGGCGAGAAAAAGCTTGTGATTGAATAGGAAGTAATTCATAATGATGAAGAGTATGAAGAAATGAGTTTTAAAGAAGTCGAAGAAGATGATTTATCGGACGAGTATGAACCAGAACAAAAAAAAAAGATAGACGGCGGAGTATATTTCTTTTGACTATAAAATAGAAGTCATTAACATAGCCAAAGCACATCCTACGTGGAGTTTGCAAACTTTGCAAAAGAAAGGATGTCGTCGCTTAAAAAAAATTGAGTATTTATCGCGGTGGAAAGAAGCAGTCGAAAAGGGTCGAAAACTTTCGATAAATATTCTGTCATCGATTCCTGGACATACGACCGTTTCGTTGAAACTAGGCAAAGTTATCAACAAGTCACGACCAGAAATTTACAGCAGTGGGCTTTGGCTGCTGCAGAACAATATCCAGATTTTAAATTCAAAGCTTCTGATCGATGGGTGACGAAATTTAAAAAAAGGCACGGAATTCGTCAACGAAAAGTCACCAAATTCGTTTCTCAAAAAGAGGTAGTGACGATTGACGAAACCTTGGCCTCTGCAGAGATCTTTCACGCACAAACTTTGCGTTTGATACCTAATTTCGACGAGGATTATGTCATTAATATCGACCAAACAGGTACGTGGAAAAGCTTTAATTGTAAAAAGTCCAAACATTTTTGGTAAATATGCATATTAGGTTACACCTCATCGATGACTTTGACCTTGACATATGTTGTCAAGGACATAACCCTGAGTAACTTTTCCTTATAACTTAACCGGCGGTCTCTTATAGTTTCTGAAATATTTAAAGTTATGATTTCACAATTTTAATGATTTTTCTATTATAAAATAAAGAAAAATAAAAGTTGTTTACCTTGTATTTACGTAGATCAGACGTGGAAAAAGTGTTTCTTTACATTTCCAGAGACGAAACTTTTTGGATTTTTTTACTTTCCACACAAAGCGAGGTTCAACGCAAACCTATGTGTCTAGTTTTTTTATAGTGGA